TGTAAATTAGAAATGTTCTTTAACGATGTCATATTTAACACTTTAGACATATGGGCATTGATTAACACATCTTTCTGGCCAAAGATATCTTGGATTAATTTAAGAGCCGACTTATAGTTGTCTGAGGTAATAGTGAAACCTTTAACGCGTTGAGCACGGCGGCGAATTTGCTGTCCTTTCTGTTCAACCGGCAGCAAGCTAAGCCGTATTTTTGTTTAGAATGTTTCAATACATTTCATTGATACTATATTTATTTTTTAACTTTAATACTGTCAGTCCCATGGACCGACGACAGCCAAACGAAAATTCCAGTGCCGGTCCCCAGCGACCAGCGCCGGCCACACGGAAAGTTAACTGCCAGTTCCCTTGGACCGGCGCCATGCTCAACGTGTTAACACAAGAAAGACCTTGGCCTCCAAGGCAACTAAACAAATAAGAAAATTTTTTGACATCTGAGAGGGAAGGAATTTTGTCAATAGAATTTTCGAATTGATTTCGGAAATTTAACTACTCAGATGCCCCCCCCCAATATATATATGAACTTTCAGTTTAGGTAACTTTGCGTTTGTATTTGGTCTACTTTGGTTTGTTATGGGTTGCACACATGCGGGTTCTTGTACAGATGAGGATTGCAACGATTTTATTTTTTAGTTTTACCGAGTTAAATATAATTACTTCATTACATTCATCAATACTTTCTATTTCTGATTGCATTTCTGCATCATCTAAAAGATCTCCAATTTTAAACAATAGCAACAGTAAAGAAAAAAACTGGTAACCATGGGAATACTTTGCGACACTTTGCGACTGCGCAGATAGTCTTGCAGACGATTCTCACAGACAATGTGCTAGCATCGCAGAACAAATACAAAATTTTTAATCAGTGGATTTTTATTTTTCATTAAAAATAATTTTTAATAATGGAATTTTTATTCTTGGAAATCTTTTTATACAGATAGATGCATGTATTAAGTATGTTCTTTATGGTGTGAATTAGATCTTAAATCCAATACATAATAAGCTGTAGAATGATATTTCTTCCTCCAAAACACTATCTGAGTACATTAACTGCTATTAATATTGTCATTTTTGTTGTACAAGAATATTTTGTTGATTAGCACATTTTCTAGAAACAAGTTAAAAAAATTACATTAAATTTAATATTCTTGAGGATTTTTTAAATTGATGGTGAAAGGCTTTAATTGCTAATGTCTGACTATGCTAGATTAAGGCTTGTCTTTAATTTTATATTATCTAAACCAAAAATGAAATAGTATTAAAACTATTTAAAAGATATTTGAACATTGCAGTCTCAAAAATGACTGTTTTATGCTGTCAGCTCTGAAGCACTTAAATCTAACCTTATCCTTATAGAAGTGAAAATATTATAGACTTTAAAACTTATTTTTAAATTAGTTTAAATGATGGAATTTTTTTAATAGTAGTTTTGAAGAATTTTTTTTTGGGGGGGGGCTTGAAGTTTTACTGTGTCTTATTTGTATATAGTATTAAATTTTCGAATTGTGCACTCATATATGAATGTTATATGATATGTTTTATTATTATCATAATATTTTATTATTGTCAATATTTATTTACATTCAAAGATTGAAATTCAGTGTTATCTTTTTTAGTATCATTAGCGATTAAGTGTAATTCTTTTATATGTGTTATTGCTTTTATAATTATCAATGTTTTATGGAAATTAAAAAGTCTTTTCTGTAATTATTCAGCAAAGAAATTGATTTACTAAGAATGTGCAAGTTCAGAGTATTTAACTTTTTTAATGCATGCTTTTATCTAGTCATGAGACTTCAATAAACACAGTGTCACTTTATATGCATTGCAAATATTTAAAGCTTAGTTCTAAGAGAGCTATTAAAGCTTGTTTCTAAGAGAATAGCAAAATATTTTAAAGCTTTGTTCTTTAAAATATTTTGCTGTTTTTTTTTTAAGAATATAGAAATTACTCTTTTTATATGAAGGTAATAAAATAGTGTAGTAAATCATTGTATAAATAAAGGTAATAAATGTTATGTATATGTGAACAGTTTTCATTAAGTATATTAAAAATGTTTTGATGCTCAAAAGATTAGCAACAGTTAAGAAAGTTTTAGTATATACAAGTATTAAGCAACTGCAATTTCTTTCTTTATAATTATAACCAAAACAACAAACCTAAGTATTTCTCTAGAATCCTGACACTTTTGAATGGTTTGTAATTTTGAGCAATTTGTAGTAAAAGGGTCTTCAGTGAATCAGCTGTGCTAAATACTATATACTAATATTTAGAAACACCACTGGGGTTTCAAGATTGATTGAAACTGTATTCGAATTTTATTTCTGTCCAATAGTTTATTAATTAACTGAAAGGATGAAATTATTAAATGCTGTAGTAATATTGTTTAGATACTTTTTGCAACATTTTATAAGTTTTTTGATATTTTCAATATATCAAAGTACCGCCATATTGTTTAAGAAAGACCTCTGTAAAAGGACT